GGTGGGATCGGGGCTGCAGCCTCTGGAGGTGGCAGGACGGGCTGGATGCGGGGGTGGGTGGGTTTTAAGACAGGAATAAACAGGCCTCTGGAAAGCAGGGGCACTCTCGGCCTCCTGCCACTCTCATCTGTGGGATTTCTCCCTAAAATCCCAGCCTGCTTTCCCGACGTGGCACTTCAGACCCTGAGGCAAGGACGTGCCCATCGGGTGTGACCTTGTCCAAGGCGTTTCATCCAACTCTTCCCTGTTCCCAAGACAGGGAATTACCCCTCTCCATCCTGAGGGAAGCAGCTGAATGTCTGTGTCCTGCAGCCTTGTGACCACAGCTCCTGCCCTTGACACCTCCCAGGCTGCTGGTTGATCCCAGAGTGGGGTTTTCACCCCAATCACCTCCAGAGATCCCAGCAGGATCCCACTCTGCCCACCAGCACCATCCAACGTTTCCTGCAGCAGCTCATCCCTCAATTCCCAGACCCAAAACAATCCTCACCTTTGTCTCCCCAGCACACAGGGCCTTCCCACCACATCCCTCACCCTTTTCCCTGCCCACCAGAGCCACATGACAAAAGCCTCTGGCATTTCCAACAGCTGCCTGCAGAGCTGCTGCCCACCCCTGCCTGCAGGGGACAGGGGTGGCCCAATCCAGCTCTTCCCAAACACCTCAGCAACTCATTCCAGACACAACTGAGAAGAAGCAGGAGGGACATTGGAAGGACCCGAGGCTGTAAATCAGCCCTGACAACCCCCCCCCCCAAGCACAGGGAGACGCAGAACATGCTGTGACCCAGCAGTGCCAAGAAGGAAACAGAGCTGGTGGGGACCAGGACAATTGCATCACAGCCTGGGAAAGGTTTGTGCTCAGACACCAAATAAAAACCAAAAAAAAAAGAAACCCACCCAAACACAAACATGAACTGCTTTCCAGTTCACCTCTCCCTGCCCCTCCGTGGTGAAAACCAAAGCTGTGAAGATCAGCACTGGATCAACTCCAGGGCCAAGTAACCCAACCACCCGCCCGGCACCTGGGATCAGGCTGTTACCCAACGCCCCTGTTGATTTCCCAGCCTCCTCCTCTCCTCGATTTCACAACACAAAAGCTCCATGTGCAGGTTGAAACGCTGACCCCTGACCCTTCCCCTCCTCACCCACCCACCCCCATCCTTTCATTATTACTTTCAGACCAAGGATAAAAAAAAACAAACCAAAAGAGGAATCAAAAAAACCACCACAACAAACCACCCCACGTGGATCCCTGGACCATCTCAGTCAACGTTAAGTTAGTGTTACATCATTCCCAGGGGAAAACCAGCTTTTCCCAACATACAACTGACAGATTACAGCTCCCTTGGATGGGCAAGACCCCCTCCAAGTGTCCCTTTCTGGCCCCTAAGGGCTCCTTTCCAACCCCAAGGGTCCCTTTCTGGCCCCCAAGGGCTGCTTTCCACCTACAAGGGCCCCTTTCTGCCTCTTCCCAAGGGTTCCATTCCAACCCCAAGGATTCCTTTCCCACCCAAAGGGTCCCTTTCCCCCCAGCACAGACAAAAGAAAGTCCTTGCCTACCTCTTTGGTCAGGTCTCCATTCACCGGCGCAGCCACCGCTCCCAACTCTTCCAATTCTTCCCCAAATCCTTGCTCAGCTCCGCTCTCCCTCACCCCGTTGTCAGGACTGTTCCCATCCTGCAGCCCGTTCCCATTCTCCAGGGCAATCCCAGCGCTGGGTTGGCTCCCAGACACGGAGCCCTCGGGATCTCTGTGCACCAACCAGGCGTTGACCTCAGTGGTGGGCACTTGGAACCTGTCCAGGGCCCTCACCTGGTTGAGCAGCCTCCGGGCAGTGAAGTAATAGTCCAGGTCTACACTTTTTGGGTGGATGCCATATCCATCCAAGGTGTTCCTCAGGTTGTGAAACTGGGTCTGGGTGTAAGCAGAGCTCTGGCCAAGGATGATCTCCCGGAGAGGGGGGAGCTGTGAGTTCAGGTAAGTGTCCACGTCCACGCGAACCCCGATCAAGCTGAGCAGGATGGTGAACTGGATGAGGCCTTCAGTGAAGTATTTCTTCAGAGAAAGCATTTCTGGTGGAGGAGAGAAACAGGTGGAAGGGTTTGAGAATGAAAAACAAAACGCCAACACCACCAGCGTCGGGTGAATTCTCCACACAACAGGTTGGTTTGGTTTGGCTCTTCCTCTGCCCCACTTTCCAACTAACGACTCCGGCGTCCAAGTTATGGCTAAAAGAACAGGATAAAAGTTTAAAGGGCCTTCAAGACTTGGGTTCAGGATGCCTTTGTTGTTGTTTTTTTTTTTGGTCTCAAATTCTGGAGCTCCCCGGCCGGCCAGCAGAGTGTAATTAAAGATTTAAATCTCGAGAAGAAACAAACCCTCCCCAGAAGCCTCTCTTGCCCTTTCCTCTTCTTCCCAACTGTTTGAGAACACAGACCATGCAGCTACATAAAAATCCATGTGACTTACTGTCCCAAAACTCCACATGCAGCAACTTCCTCTCTCTCCCCCCCCAATTCCCAACGCTCCACCACGGGATCTGCTCCCTCCGGCTGCTCTTTCTTCCTTCCTTCTGCCTTGAGAAGCTTCTTCACGGAGCCTTTTTCACCAGTCAAAGGTGCCGATCACGGGCAGGTCCAAAGACCCAAGTGTCCCTTTCTGGCCCCTAAGGGCTCCTTTCCAACCCCAAGGGTCCCTTTCTGGCCCCCAAGGGCTGCTTTCCACCTACAAGGGCCCCTTTCTGCCTCTTCCCAAGGGTTCCATTCCAACCCCAAGGATTCCTTTCCCACCCAAAGGGTCCCTTTCCCACCCCAAGGGTCCCTTTCCCCCCAGCACAGACAAAAGAAAGTCCTTGCCTACCTCTTTGGTCAGGTCTCCATTCACCGGCGCAGCCACCGCTCCCAAATCTTCCAATTCTTCCCCAAATCCTTGCTCAGCTCCGCTCTCCCTCACCCCGTTGTCAGGACTGTTCCCATCCTGCAGCCCGTTCCCATTCTCCAGGGCAATCCCAGCGCTGGGTTGGCTCCCAGACACGGAGCCCTCGGGATCTCTGTGCACCAACCAGGCGTTGACCTCAGTGGTGGGCACTTGGAACCTGTCCAGGGCCCTCACCTGGTTGAGCAGCCTCCGGGCAGTGAAGTAATAGTCCAGGTCTACACTTTTTGGGTGGATGCCATATCCATCCAAGGTGTTCCTCAGGTTGTGAAACTGGGTCTGGGTGTAAGCAGAGCTCTGGCCAAGGATGATCTCCCGGAGAGGGGGGAGCTGTGAGTTCAGGTAAGTGTCCACGTCCACGCGAACCCCGATCAAGCTGAGCAGGATGGTGAACTGGATGAGGCCTTCAGTGAAGTATTTCTTCAGAGAAAGCATTTCTGGTGGAGGAGAGAAACAGGTGGAAGGGTTTGAGAATGAAAAACAAAACGCCAACACCACCAGCGTCGGGTGAATTCTCCACACAACAGGTTGGTTTGGTTTGGCTCTTCCTCTGCCCCACTTTCCAACTAACGACTCCGGCGTCCAAGTTATGGCTAAAAGAACAGGATAAAAGTTTAAAGGGCCTTCAAGACTTGGGTTCAGGATGCCTTTGTTGTTGTTTTTTTTTTTGGTCTCAAATTCTGGAGCTCCCCGGCCGGCCAGCAGAGTGTAATTAAAGATTTAAATCTCGAGAAGAAACAAACCCTCCCCAGAAGCCTCTCTTGCCCTTTCCTCTTCTTCCCAACTGTTTGAGAACACAGACCATGCAGCTACATAAAAATCCATGTGACTTACTGTCCCAAAACTCCACATGCAGCAACTTCCTCTCTCTCCCCCCCCAATTCCCAACGCTCCACCACGGGATCTGCTCCCTCCGGCTGCTCTTTCTTCCTTCCTTCTGCCTTGAGAAGCTTCTTCACGGAGCCTTTTTCACCAGTCAAAGGTGCCGATCACGGGCAGGTCCAAAGACTCCTCCGCTTTCTTGGCTGCGATTTCATCAGCAGCTGAAACAGACTGG